CCCAGCCAGCCCAGCTCCTCCTGAGGCCAGTGGCCAAAGCTGCTGCTTGGAGTCACGTCGAGGAGAAGGGGGAGCAGCTGCCAGCTGTGTGTGCCTACGTGCAGAGGGACACACTGCAGCTCCTCTGCTGCACACAAACAACCAGCACCTGCATGAGAGCACCATGAAAAAGTATTCCTGCGACCTCCCGGGTAAGGCAGAGGCACAACAACCACCAGGACAAATTCAGTCAGTTGTTTCAGAGAGCCTTGTAGGATCTGTGGGCTTACAGCAGAGGTGAAAGAGCCTGTCCTTAACAGGCAGCAGAGACAATACCGAGATGTCAGGGCAGAGCTCAGAAATGCTCCAAGGAACTTCACTTACCACCCAAGACCTGGAGATGTGCACTGACATCGTTAAGATCATCTCCAAAGGCAGCCTGCAAGAAACAGACACAGAGATGGTTCACAAAGCAGGCCTGGAAAAGCCCAGAAACACATGGAAAAACAGCAGCAGAAGTTATTTACAAGGAAATGCAGAGGAGGACAAAGGACAAAGCAGGGGAGGAAAATCTGGTGTAAAAAAATGCACCACAAATGCTTTACTTCTGAATGGTAAAGGGCAGGGTATATCAGCAAATGCCACAGTGGTCATCAACAGTAATTACTGCAAAAAATTGTTATGTCAAAGCTTCAGGAAAGAGGGAGGAAGAATTAATACTGATTTGAAGTGATACAGGATCAGAAAAAAACAGAAGATAAACAAGCAAAGGGACTGATGGTAAGCAGGGTGAGTTCCCAGGCATTTCTCAGCATCACACAGAAAACAAACCCAACCTGCAATTAAGCAAAGCAAAATTAAAGCTTGGCAGGATCCAAATACCCCTGAGGAGATTGTAAATTACACACAAGATGTTCAGACCTTCTAAAAGTACCTTCCTTGGCAGCACGTGAGACAACTGGATATATCACCATGAGTGAGAGGGGCCTGGAGAGGTGTCCCCACATGCTGCATAACTGCCTGAGAGACAGCTACCACAGGGCACCAAGTGAGTGGTTGAGTCCCAGATCTGGGACTTGATAAGCCTGAGATGGGAAGAAGAAGCGATAGGGCTGCCATCAATATTGATACAGCAGCTTCAGTAAATTTGTGTAATTTTGTAATCCAAGTGAGGCCAGACTTGGGATGAAATATTCATGTAATGAAAACATGGGCAGAATAAAAACATGAGACCAAAGCAGACTACATCCCCAATCTCCTCACATGCAAGCTGCTAAAAGACTCCAGTCTTCAAGCACATGAGCAGTCAACAGGTACCTCCCTGACTACACTGCATGTTAAGAAGAAAATATAATGAGAGCAATATGATGCCAAAGGAAGGCCAAGGAAGTCTCCAGCCATGGCAATCATGGCAGCAAACAAGCTGTGCACTTGAATAGATCCAAGCAAGCTAAACAGTGCACTAAACAACCTCCCTCCAAGAGTCTATCACAAAAGAAACCTTACCTGACTTGGCAAAAGCAAAAAAAAGATATTCCCAGTGTTGGATGGCAATGTTGGAGACTGGCATGAGCTACTAGGCAATGAAAGTGGACTCCTTGCCTTGTTTTGAGTACCAGTATCAAAGTAGAGATGGCTGAGACTG